GTTTAAAAATTACTGACTGCTCTACAAATCCACATTTGGTGTTAGGACGTCTTGGAGTGCATGTACACGATGTCGCCAGACATTTAAGTAATGCTGAGTATCACTGGACACAATGAACTTCTCTGGAAGGATGCGTAGGGAGCAACCACTTGCCATCAAACTGCAGCACAAGTAAGACTGTTTTGTGTGGCTCTTTCCAGATGTTGCATTCAGGTTGACAAAGACAAATAATGAACAGTGAATTTAAACTGGTTAAACAGCGTTGCTTTACAAGTCCCGAGCAGTGGTTTGATGGGGCTATCGAAAAAATATTACTAAAACGGTTTGTACTTTAAGTGTGAAAGTAAGGAATTATCCTTTGTTCCACTGTAGCACTATAGTCCACGTAGTTTGATAGTACCCACAATCAAAAGCAAATAAATCCAAGGCATATTCAAGGAGTAGGATGGAGACACAGTGTTGACAAAAAGTAGGTGGATGAACGCGTCATCCAAGCGTCTTTTAAACCTTGCCTGTGACGGTACAAAAACGACCGATTAATGAGCAGCGTTCCATGTATAACACGTACGGAGAAAAGGAAATTCCTGCGGCACTCCAGACGACCTTACTGTTCAGCTAGTTTCAGTGAGTGTCTTCTCAGTTTGCATTACTGCTGAGTTTCAGCAGATAGCGGCACACCTGATTTGGATTGTGTAAAATTAAGTAGATGATTATCAGGTCGCCCCGTAGTCGGCGATACCGCCCGCTGAATATTCCTGAACGATACAGCTTCTGCTCGTATGGAAGGTGACGCATTTCAATGACATATTTAAAAGCCCGACGTTGAGTTTGGTTCAGCGCAGTGAGATCGTGCTTCAACCATGGCTGACAAGACTGAGTTGCGTATTCGACATGAGAGCGAACATACGCATTGAGCATCTGTCTGAAAATAGAGGCATCTATTTGTCCGAACGACCGTCGCAACAGCCCAACGTGTTGGTTTCCAGCTTTTGAGATCTTTTCGAGTTGCCTGGCACAAACTAATTTGATTTTGAACTAGCCCATCCAGATCATGTTTGATGGAAGATTGGTACGGTGTATGCGTTCCGAGGCAGTAGTCAAGCTGGTGTCATTGAGTCGCAATGGATTTTGGATTAACCGCTGATGTGCTGCATATGGCTCACTCTGAATCGGATGCCTGGAGGCATTCCCCTGAAATCTGCGCCAAATCATGATGTCGTAGGGGAAAATATAGGACGTTTGAAGCGATTGCCTGTGCAAAGTCATTAAGAAATACCGAAAAACATCGTGGACCTGGAACTGTGTCTTGCGGCAAAACACGCTCGACTTGGATGAGGTTAGGTAAAGAGCTCCGCAATCTGACTACTAATTGCCGTTGAAGGAGAAACTTTGCTATCAAGCTGGGAACAGGACCAGCATTTCCGCAATATTGAGACTTGCCAAATAAAAACACATGATTTAGATGATCAAATGCTCTCGAAATATCTGATTAGATCACATCAACATCCTCTTCAGCGTCAGCTTACGCGGTCCAACTACTCGGTTTGGATATTAAACTCGTTGTGCATAATTGCTATTGACGGAAGCCGTGCTGTTCGGGAGTACTAATGTTACAGTGTTGCAGATGCCACCCCAGCGTATCGGCAATGCTTCATTTCATGAACTTGGACAGTATACGGAGAAGAATCACTTTGTGCCAGTTTTAAGGCTTAATTCTGCTTCCGCTTTCGTGAATGGAGAATATTTTCCAAGCTGATCATAGCAGGAACTTTGTTCTGGTCTAAGTATTGCTGGAAGTACTGAGACAAATTTTCTGTCAATTGTGTTCCTACTGCTCCCTTTACCACTGGCCGAACAGTGTACAAAACCAGGAAGTTGTGGTTGCGCAGCGAAGACAGCTGTTGCAAAACAGCTTCAGCGTTAAAAGCGATGTTAGTGAGTCCTGGCGGGAGATTGACAGAGGTCAGACGATTACTTGATGGCAAAACCCTCTGAAAGGTGGAGATATGCTCTATCCGCAGCGTGTGTGCTGCTTCCATACCTGTTCTTGTTGGGCCGACAGGCGTCCGGAGTGGATGGAATCCTTGCCTTATCTTTCTCAGGCTACTGACGTGCTACTGCAGCAGTTTATGTTTAACGCTGATGGTTAACGCGTTCTTCTGCTGAAATGCGGCTTTGTCTTCTCTGAGCGGTTAAGTGAATTGGTTAGCTTGGACTACATAGTTGTCCCAAGTTTATGGCATTGGAGCAAATATATACGCATGCCATGTTGCCGACTAAATTCCGTTTTCGAGTTCCCTTCCTAACGATTATTATTCATTTAGATCCGGTGGAAACTCTTGTCACTGATGCATCTGTAATCAGATGACCGACTTTGTTGACAAATTTGTGCCAGGCGATTTCGGAGTTCCTTCTGCAAGGAACGATCAGGTTATGGCGCTGATGAACTTTGCTAATCTATCGTAGCGTGTGATGGTTCGCACCGTGCTATGGTTCTTATTTCGCTATTCCGCATAGCAACAGTTGAAACTAATGACCACGTGAACCCGGCGACTCATACACAGATGGTTTCTTACCTGTTCTGAAGCGAGTATGCAGATTGACGGGATGGTAAAGCGAAGTTGTTGTTATGACCTCTTGCAGATCGGCCTTGGATTGTTCTCCAATCATGGCAGTGGTTTCTAAACAACATAGGTTGAAATCAACCATGATAAGGACGCATGTCAAGCATTTACGGTTCGTCTCAGAACAGCCGCGATGTGGTAGTCCGTTTCGGTTGTAGATTTAGGGGGCGGTACATAACGGCTATGAATCATGTGTCCCCGCCTAGTAACTGCAGGTGGCGGCAAAGATAAGCGGGGAACTGCGAGTTTGAACCCCCCACGGTTTCACACCGTAGGTTGATTGTAATACAGGATTACCCCACCCAGCTTGGTAAGCCCGTCGTTGCGGATGAGTGAAATGCCCGGTAGCGAGACGTAAGCGTCTATCATTCCAGCGTGCAACCACATCTCAGTGATGCCGATGGTTACATATGGCTCAGAAACTTAGCTTTCTTTCAGTCCTGCCAGCTTATTGAAAAGGCAATGTGCATTGGTATAAAGGCAGGATAGTTTCTCGGTTTCTAGGAGCCGACTGATGTGGAGGATGGCCACTCTTCATTTTTTGATGGGATAATAACATATTGTTGCAGCTTGATTTGGCGAAGGTGCGTCCTTTTCCGTGTCCGGACATACTGCGGGATCACTTGAAAGATCGACAAATGGAAACTTCCTTGCTTACTTTTTCAGGTAAGTTCACATCTGGTCATTTCAGGGCTTCTGCATTCTTTCACTGAAGTTCAGATGGAAGGCTTTCTTCGATGTCTCCTCCAGTGCTCTAAAGCCTCCGTACCGATCTGCTCTGACTGAACCAAAAATTTCAGGATTCCTTTGCCGCAACCTCTATAATTTGGTTAGAGTGGTAACCTATTCAGCGATCGAGCAACGACATTACCCAAGAAAAGTATTTCTTGCAAGAACCGCCACTGTTCCAAATCGTGATTATCGGTCTCATGACTAACGTGGGAATAAAGCTCTGGCATGCCATAAAGGATTATTGTGCTTAGACGATCCTGAGTGCTGTGTCATTCCGATATGTTTCATTTTACTTGTCGCGTGCTCCAAGGAACATCAGAATAGGTGCGTATCCTACAGGATCAGTGTTATAGCTCATTTGCAAAGAACACAACGTTTTCTACAAGATTGGCATATTGTAAGGTCATTGTAATATGCATGGGTTAGCCATAGTATGCGGAGTTTGGGTGGATTTTGCATTCATCAAAAGGTACAACTAGTTCCACTGATTTTGGTTGTCGGACTACTTACCCCGCAGTGGGATGCAAATAGACACAGGGACATTTATGCACCCAACAGTCAGGGCTTTACCGTTAGATCCATTTTTTGTTTACCTGTAAAATCGGTTGATTGTTGGTCGTGACTTTATTCCAAGTGTTGTTCGTCTACTGTTCGTCGTTCTATTCGTGTCAACGGTGTTTGCAACAGAAGAGATCCTAAGTGTGGTGTCCTGGATGACTGTTAGGGAGTAGTAAGTGGCTTTGTTTTGTTTTGACGAAGATTCGTCGCAGGTATACTCAGCCAGACAGGCAAAACACATCCAGGAAAGACCTAGACGGATGTTACGTCTTTTAGGGACTAGTCAGTTGCGCCCACCCAGCCGAATCTGGCTAGAGGCGTAGCTATAGTGACGCACTATATTATCTAGTCTTTTGCGATCATTTCACTAAGCTGTTAAGGACAAGAGTGGAGGTAGTTCTCACCTCTAGCAAACTTGCAGAAAAAAGCAGGTGATGTGTGATAAATCTAAGTACTCAGGTTAGTAATAAACATGTGGGTTGGTCTAGCGGTACCATTTGTTATTAACAACACATAAAAGGTACCACTTCAAGGCTAGCCATAAAATCCACGCGCTAACTTTATCTGCCTCGTACCCTATCAGGATCTGGGGATCTTGGGAAGCAAGACCGCGAATGATCCTTAACCTACTTCGTAGTAGAACCACCTGTGTGTCAGATAGAGTAACAAAGGCTTCGGACTATGTGATTCTTAGTGCAAATTACCAGTTTCCAGAGGTGAGGGCACCTCAACAGAATCGTACTGTATGCAACAATATGCAGAGTCACATAGGGTTTAGACTCAATCATCTAAAACACACGTCTACTCATTCAAACATTTCCTGCATGTAGTGTTGTGAAAAATGGTAATCCGTTTTCCTAACCAATCTTTCGAAATTCATACCACTGCGATGCAAACTTCCTGGTCTTATGCCTTTTGTATATTTGCACCGATAGATGAGCTAGATAGTAGCACCTAATCAGCCAATTGCTTCGCTTATCTATTGCTTTTCCTGTTATAAGTCAGTTGGTTCTTCGGTACATCTCGAGCGTTTTGCAACTGCTGAGGTAGTCAAGTACCGTTATCTGTTTCTTCTTTTATTTGTAGACCGATTCCACAAGGTGTCACCATTGACACCCCTTGGGCTTGAAAAACGGAAATCCGAAGGCAGTGCGAAGAAACTAGAGAACGTGAATACGCTTCAGTTACACGCCCCCGGGCATGTAGTACCTATAGTCTTATTTGCTGTTCTGATGGTCATTCTTGTCGGCATTTGGCTGATTTATCGGACGAAAGCTTCCGAGCGAAGACACAGTTTTGCTCAGATTAAGAGGCCCAAAAGCGATAGAGGGTCTGTCGCTCGTTTCTACGAGGAAAGAAGATATCTGAATCAAGGTTCATCATTGCGTTCAAGTAACACAATGGATGGCACGGAGAAGAGTTCGGTCTTAAATAAACGCATTCAAAAGGCTGAATACTCCTGCGGTACTTGGAATCACCAGAATGGCCCGAGAGTTCAAGTCGCTATGCGCGCACCGTCCGTCCCCATTGGTCAGCCTCAGACTGTGCAGCCCTATGGGAAGCTTGAATTTCCAAAACGAGTACTAACAGAGAGTTATGGCCTAGAACAAGCGGCTGTCAAGGAGAGCGGCTTATCTAAAACAAACACCGGATCTCTCAAGCTATCGGGTGCTAAGTCCCTTATTTCGCGCGCACGTAGCAATAGCGAAGACAAACGTATTCAGTTGCTCCGAAGACAATCCTTCACACAATCCTCTGTGAAGGACAGTTTTTTGTGTGTCCCATCTAGAAAGTACAGTGTTCGCCCAGATCGATTCTCAATGACCCAACATCTGCGACTTCCTGTTAGACAGGTCCTAACTAGCACACTCAGACGTAGCCTTGGTGGTGATGACGACGACTGGATCAATGTTGGTCTATCCTTGTATGGCAGGGGCCGCATCGGATTTTCACTTTCCTATGTATGTACAACTGGTCTGTTGGGTGTCACAATAAACCGACTTGCAGGTGTGCACCAACTAGAAGCGGTAGACAGTCAACTGCCTAGTCAATCACAAACCTACTTCATGGTAGGCCTACGCCTGGAAAACTCTCAGCACCCAACCCTAGTCGCAAAGGGCCCGTCATTTGAAACCACTCAATTCACGCATTCCAAGTTAGCTTCGCTCAATCCAATTTTTGACCAATCTTTTTCCTTCCGACTGCAGTCCAAGGATATAGACTCTGCGGAGCTTGTTTTTTCAATACACAAAACAGTGTCACAGTCATTCAGTCCTTTAGATGTTATCGAGCGTCATCGAAGGCAGTCTGCTGTGTCACTGACCACTGCCGAGAGAAGGCGACTACCAGTGGAGTTCCATCAGAAAGCAGAAACTCAGTGTTTGGGTGTGGTACGTTACAAACTGAATCGACACGATTTGATCAATAGACCTGAGGTGCTGAAGGAATTATGGCGTGATATTGAGCGCATTACTGAATTCGATGAAACATCTTCCGAAGAAACCAATGGCACAAGTCCCTTCCAAGCTGCAACGATCAACACTGCGGATCTTAGCCAATTAAGTGGTGTGTCCAAGGTACGTTTCTGCCTACCTTATTATATGTGCTGCGATTTACTCCCTGTGATATTGCTAAATGACAGCTATATAGTATGCCGACAAGGAAGCGCCTCATTAAAAATGGTCTGTCCAAATGCAGTAGAATCTTATCCTCACAAAGAGCTTTTCTCTTATCTTGATAGGTTCGTTTATCATCGGAGTTCATAGAGCTACTTCGGTTGATTTGTCGACGTTGAACGTCGTTGTATGCTAACGTTTTAGGATAAGATTTCGGGTAAGCATGTTGGGTCAGTTGGCCTAGGTAGTATTTATCTGACATGGTCAGGTCTCCTGTTTCAAACAAAGTTAGTGAGAACGATAGTTATGGCTAGCTGAGTTTCAGTTAATGGACTTGGTCGTTAAATAGCACAGTGAGGAAGGCAAAAGTCCGTTGAATAAGGATAGATATGTGCTGAATTCATCCCATTTGGACTCATACGGAAGGCCAACGATGCGTCCAGAAAGGCTTTGGATGACTGCTTCAATATTTTGGGAAACAATGACAGCGGACACTGCTTCTGCAATTTGTTGAAGTCTAAAGCGACCTCCTTGTAGGCGGTATCCTACACCTGCTGTTTGTTCTCTCAACAACAAGCAGGCCACTAAATTTTCGGAAGCCGTTGTCTGATTGGTTTTATTCTATGTTATGTGCCACAGTAAAATGTGCGTAAGCGAAAAATGTGCCCTGCTATTTCGCAATTAGTCAGGTATATCCACCCTGTCCACCATATGGCCCACTGATCACACTCGCCTACTGGCCTTCATACCCTTGTGCCTTCAAGCCCCATGATGGCAAGATGAGATGCGCGCTGTTGGCAATTATCAAATGGATGAAACGGTCTGTTCGTGGTTTTCTGCTTGTGTGATAGCCGTCTGGCTGAGTCTACCTCGGATGCATTATATTTTTACCTTCTATATTCTCTCATTACTGTGATATCCAGTTGCCGAGCACCAATCCACAAGAATAGAGAATGAATGCAGTCCTGATCTCTTTACGTTCGGACCTCCCCATTCGCACGCCATCGAGGTATTAATCGCACCTACCGTGTTCACAAGTGTTAGTCACTATAGTCTCCGGACGGGCTAACTCAGTAACAAGCTGCTGACCATAAACCAGGAGAATCTAACTATTCTCGTAAGTAACTGAAACGCGGAGTACGCTTTAGGTCAACTTGCTGGCTGGCTGCTTGGATTTCAATACTCATTCTTACTTCGGATAGGCAATTACAGTGAAGTTAGATGAGTTGATGTTGAACGCACCAATAACTATAATGAGCAGAATAATAAGAATAATGCGCATATATATCCTGATGCGAGAAACTATGTCTGTAGTGGCACAGGTCAATTACTACAAAAGTATCCACTTCCTTGCATGGGCGATATGTATAGGTAGAATATTAGGGTCTGCGTTTCGTGTAGTTACCCATCGGTGAACGGTTAAAGCGCAAGCCTAGTTTGAACAAATGGGTGTTTAGATGTTTTTCGGCCCAACTTGGAATAACTCATCTAGGGACCTTTCCCGTATGATCCTAGAGATCAACGAAACTGGAGAGTTTGTTTCTAAATGTTGCCACATTATCACATCACCTGAGTGTGATCGGTAGTTTAATCCACATATACCAGAATAGGAAGAAATTAGGCTATATGTTCGTTCTGGCTCTTGGTGTGTTAAGTGTAAAATCCTTACTACAGAGCTCTCCAGTTGAGGTGTGTAGTAATTCGTGTGTAAGCAGGTCGGTTTAAGTCATTTTGTGTAGCACGCTGAAAAGCAGCAACAAGTAGTGCTTCAATCGTCGAATTAAAAGTGCTTCGAGATGAAGTTCCTTGCAACCTTCTCGAGAACTCATAGCAAAGTGCTTACCAACCAGATGTTTAGTAAACGACCTCTGTAGGTGCAGTTCTGACATTATTTCTCATATTGCCATATATTATGCTTAGTTTCCATGGATGGGGTTAGTGAATAGTTTAAAATACTCAACTTTAGCACAGTTTGCGTTAATGTTGTTGCATATGTTAATCACAGATTGTTTAGCACGTGCTCCTTGGTATTGGGCTTGTTCGGAGAAACCGAAGGTAGATGAGTACCTAATTCCGAGAGCACACGTGGACAGCTGTGTAGGGACGTGTTGATTGTTTAGTGTGATAGATGCCTCGGGGGTGAAACAGCCCTAAGACATGATGCTTGATTTCTTAGCCGAGAAGCTCATCACCCACGTGTGACACTATGGCTCAAGGGAACGGAACAATGGAACAATGGTTTATGACGGGTATAAAAGCAATGCTTGACAAGTCCCGTAGGATGATGAAAATTAACATCGTAAAATTAAAAAATCGTATCGATGAAAGTACGTGCGAAATGCATGACTCACCAAGGGATTGGAGATGCACATAAACAAGTAATCCAATAGGAATTTTAAGTGGATTCCGTCCACGTTCGTTGTTCACTAGTACCATCATCCGATGGTCGCACGTTATATCACATAGTGCAATCGTGTCAGAGTTTCGACAAGGCGTTTTTTGAAAAGGGATAGGGTGGGAGCGTTAATTACATGTTCTGGAAGGGCGTTCCAAGGTTGTGACACTCGAAGGGAGAAGAAATTGCGTCGACATTCCAGTCGACTGTACTGTGTGATCAACTTAAACTGATGACCTCTTAGGGATGCGTTTTGACTACGTTTCAAAAGGGAATGACACGTGTGTTTGGGGGTTCTCAGTAACCGGTACACCAATATGAGATCGCCTCTCAAACGATGGTAACGTCCACTGTATAAGTTAAGAGTTTTCAGCCTGAGTGGGTAGGGAAGGCTGGAAAGACCTTTGACGTATTTTGTCGCTCTGCGTTGTGCAGTATCGAGTGCAGTGAGGTGGCACTTCTGCCATGGTTGCCACGCTTGAATAGCGTATTCTGTGTGCGGTCTAACAAAAGCGCTAAGCATTTTCGGAAAGATTGAGGCGTCAAACTTCCCAAACGCTCTATGCAGAAGGCCAAAGTGTTGGTTTGCTCTCTTGGAGGCCTTTTCGGTCTGCATTAAGCACCCAAGATCTTCTTGTACAAGCACGCCAAGATCGCACTCATGAGAGGTCCGCTGTAGAATGTCAGGTCCTAAGCGGTAGTTATACGCACTCTGATGGCGTATGCTCAAGATTTTGCACTTTGTGGTGTTGAACTGTAGCATGTTCTCGTTTGACCACTTGTATGCTTTGTCCAAATCATCCTGCAAGGCTGTGTGATCCTCTCCTGAAGCTATGGCGCGCCATATCTTTAGGTCATCTGCAAACAGCAGAAAGTTGGAAGATAGTGCAGCTGCAAGATCATTTATGAAAACAATGAACAAGCGGGGCCCGAGTACCGAGCCCTGAGGTACGCCACACTGAACTTCGATTGACTGCGCAGTAGAGTTTTGTGAACCTTGTTGCGCAGAAGCTTATAGACGATTTCGATATGGTCAGCAAATAAAAATGGCCGCTCATGTTTTACAGATGTGGTGATGACATTTATGTGAAGGAGTAACCATTTAGTACGAGGCACGTGGAGATGTCACTGATGGTGACTACCTTCAGAAATGCGCGCAAGGATCTCTCATGTCAATTCTGCAGGTTAGCGTTACAGCTGGGTTCGGTGAAGCGGTACAAGGGAGCAAGTGTTGTATAAGTATGCGGAAATAAAGCATAATTCACGCGATGGGGCTTTCGAATAGGATAAAGTTCGGTTGTTGGATTCCTGTTTGCAACCGTTAAGGTTTAGCTCAATAAACTCGAAAATTCAGAGGTGAAAAAGGCTTTGAATGTAGTTAGGTTTCTGTTAGGAATACGGAAGTTTGAACTATACAGCTATGTGTAGTAAGGAAGAAATCCCAAAGCTTCGTGCACTCGTGTTTGTCAGCAAAATCCGTAGGCCACGAGAAGCCCCGAATTGCCCAGGGGCGGTAAGACATTTGCAAACCTTTCTACTCGGACAGTCCAAAATGCTACACATGAAGGGTACGGAAACAGATGTAGTTAAACTTAAGGTTAGGCGAATGTGCGTAGTGAGAAACGTTGTTAGGAGTTCCACATAACAAGTGGTGGTTTGCACCAGAAGGAAATATGTCAAACGACTATGCCAACCCGGCGTACAACTTCACATTGGCGATTGCGAACTAGACTGCTGTAGCGTTTTCTAATGTTACAGTGAACGCTAGTCATTCCACCAAAACAGTCGAAGTCTTTACTGCACTCTAAGTAGGAGTAAACGCACACATACGCAGTAGACAGACTGTGACATCTTTTAGGCGATGTGTAATTTACTGAATGACGGCTGAGACACGGTTTCAGCTGCCTGTACACCAGTGCGTTTGTGGTTTGCGCTGAGGTTGTATGCGTAACTTAACGGTTGAACTATAGAACATGGTATACGAGTGTGGCCGAATTATACACTAACATGTGATAAGTGAACAATGATCAGTGATGTATATCGAACAAGAAAGTCATTGCTTGACAAGTCCCTCGGATGATCAGGATAGGAAATATGAAACGATTGCTTAGTGTGACAGGAAAAAAGAAAAATTCTGGTTTGATGAGTTTCACCGAGTTTTGCACATGAACACATGTTGGCCTGGTTACCACTTCAATGGAACAATGGGGGGTGGTGAGGTTACTGATTGCGTCTATTTGTTTTTCAATGGAAAACGATTGTCACCTAATGCAAAGGGATATAGTGTAGTCCAATCGCTTTTTAAAAGCCGTTAATATAAGAAGAGAGCATTCCACGTTCTGCAGACCTGAAGGCAGAGAAAGTTATGTTGACTGCCAAGTCGACTGTGGTTTGTGGTCATTTCCAGCTAGCGGTCTGGCTGGTTGGTCTTGTGGTTGATATGCAATAGAACGTGACAGACTTGATTAGGGTTAGTCAGTATCTGGTACACCATAATAACGTCTCCACGCATGTGCCGGTATTCGCCTCTGTACGAACCTAGGGATTGAAGTCTGCGTTGGCAGGGGTGGTGGAATAGTCCTCTAACGATTTTCCTTGCCCTAAGTTGTAGAGCTTCGGGCGCAGCAGCAAGTTCTTTGCACTGACATCGCCAGGCCTGGAACACGTACTTCAAGGGGGGCCTCAGGTACGCCTTCAGCGTTTGTGCAAAGACTGATGACTCGAACTTCCCTAACTCTCTTCGTGGGAGGCTAATTTGCTGAAAGGCTCTTCCTGATGTCTTTTATGCCTTTTGCAAACATCATAAGTTCCTCTTGCACGTTGACTCAGGGGTAGCGAGCTTGTGTAGCACGCTGCAGGTTCAGCTCTCCCAGTCCATTTGTGTCAGTACACTGGTGGCGGATGCCAAGAACCTTTCATTTCCTCAAGTTAAACTGGAGCCGCTTTTCGGCGGACTATGTGTTGGTCCTGTCGAGATCTCTTTCTAGTGCCGCGAGGTCGTCCACCGTTTTGATGTCAAGCCCCATCTTGGCGTGGTTCGCAAATAGTAAGAATCCAGACTGGAACACCCTAGCAAGCTGGTTGACGACAGTCCCAGTACTGAGCCTTGGGGCATACCACACTAGATTTAAATAGGGTCGGAGACGGATCTACGGGCACTCACATTCAGCTGAAGTTGAATGATGCAGTTGCTTAGCTAAATCAGCACAGTGTCTCCAATTACATAACTTAGAAGTAGCTGAAGGAGAACGCACTGGTCCAGGCGTTAAAAGGCTTTAGCGTAGTCCAATTATACGACGTCGACTCCTGATCTGGCATCTACTGACTTCGTCCAGCTTGCTTGGGTTAGTAACAAGTTTGTGGTGCAGGATCGAGTTCGGCGGAATTCATGTATTGAAACTTTTGGGATACATCAAGATATACTAATAGGAAGAATAAACGTCAAGTTAACTGAGCATTTATTTGAGTTGTTGAATATATATACCTATATATATATATATATATACATATATATATATATGCATGGGGTTTCTGAGGTTGTAGAGAGGAGGATTGTTATGGTTAGCTCTCAGTCATGCAGGAACCAGTAAGCGGTCGTTTCTTTAGTTGTACGCATTTCCGCTATATACCGGCACCCAAACAATGGCCACACGGCACCAGCGACTTGGGCCTTTAAGCCATGGACGACAGCTGCAAACTGTCCTCAGCAAAGATCGCCACTTGCACACTAGGGGGAGAATGAGCAGCGCTATATCACAACTAGCCATCGGTCTTGACATGCATAAGGCTTGTAGTCAACACTTATTGCCTAGTGACATGCCGTTGGTGTCGAGAGGTCTTGAGTTTACTTGCAGATGGAACAAGGGATGCACACTACTGACGCGCCGCAACACGACTGAACGGTCGTCCAGTTGCTCAGCAGATCCATGGAAGACAACCTTCGCTTGGGGATGACTGAGGCCGTTTTGCGCCACCGTGGCGGCGTTGTCTCAGTGGCCTACTGCTAGCTGTGTATGAACAACGCAACATGGTCAACAGTCTCCATATTTTAGGTAGAAATTCGTCACATCTAGACTCACTCAGACAGCCCCCACACACCCGGAAAAGCACTGTACGCGCGTTGCATCCTTTCGGGAATCATCAGCAGTGCGCATTCCATCGGACCCTTGGTAGGGCTCGAACCCGCAACTCGGCTGTTGCCAGTCCGTGGTTGAGACCACTGAGCTACGGGGGACGGCAACGACCATCGTGAATAAGTCTGAGTGAGTCTAGATATGACGAATTTCTACCTATAACATTCAACTCCCCCTACTACTCTTCTGTAGTCTCCATGTTTGCCAAACGATTCGGTTCATGCCACAGTCAAATGGCGATTCACGCTGTACCCATGAATTCGTTTTGTAACGCTGTGCACTTTTCTCATCCGGAGAAATCAAATGTGATTATTATTTTCTAGTTTTATCCTAAACGTAGTTATGAATGTGCAAATCTCGCAGGCTGCAAACATGTCAACAATTTTGCTGCGAACTTTACTACTGCAAGACTCACCGCTACGGGTCGCAGTAACGTGTGTTGAACTATCCTATGCTCTACGTTTTGTTTCGTACCCAGAGCACATTTGCTTTCTCACCATTGTGCTTGACTGAATTTCGCTCAGGCGATAGCATTTTCCGCTCGAATGATACGGTTTACCACATTGAATAATTCTGAGCTTCAAAAACTGCTTATTTTCATTAACCATACAACCGTAAGTGAAATGAACTGATTGTGACTGAACGGCTGCCATTATAGTCGGGGATCAAAAAATTCCTTGAAAGAATGCTTACGTGTCGTCTCACCATAGCACATCGTGTTCTGGCCAGGTTAATTGTGGTTTCGTTATTTGCATTCTCACACCGAAAGCACTAACTCATGCCATGCTTCTCACGTGTGCTTTTGAAACTCGAAGTATGCCGTATTCTGCATTAAAACAGAACAGCAACTCTACTAGTTTGCCCTAACGGCTGTCCAGAGGTATCTGAAATCTGCCAAAAGAAAAGTTGCATTATCCTCTCTACCCATGCCGGCGCACCGTTGTAATTTATATGTTATAATACTATATCTGTCTCTTCTACTTTTAACAAGGAGCACATTTTCAAATGGTCCGAAGCATCAACCCAAACTAAGCCAACCGTTGAATTATCCATTTATTACGACTTGGGAAAATCGCATCTGTTTATTCGTCTGGAGGATGCACGAAATATTCGTTTACGACGGAAAGATGGTGAGTTCGTACCCCCTCGCTCGCCCACCTGTGTCGTCGGCAGGTTGCATCCACGCCTTTCTTTCCCTGACTGATCTATCTGTGACTAGCACCTACACTGTTCCATCCAACATTTAATCACCTTAACATTACGGTAAATATTTTCACATTGCTCTGTTCTGTCTACATACATTGGAACGCAGTGTAGGCGATAGTGTAGGCGTTTTGTTTTTCAGTGATCAGCGTAAGTCTCTTGGGGACCGAAACCAAAAAGTCAGCATGTGGGTGGAATGTGGACATTATTGACATTAGCTTATCATTTCTCTTCTATTGTTATGCCACGTAAGAGAGAACCGTGAGCCAAAACGGTGCACGCTAATATCAAATAAGACATTAAATATTTTCCATTTTTAACTCTCTGATGACATGTATTCAGTCTGCTCCTTCTACCCTTTGTCTCCTTCTGTGTGTTTCATCCACAGCGTACATATTTGCAAGGACAGTGCTCTACAAAGGTGACAAAGTATTTGCCTCAGCTAGAGGGCCATCTAACAAGCTCACCAAAACTAATGTACCCTCAAGCCGTACAGAGCATGGAACGCAAAGTGACAAACAGTTTCCAACGGACCTTTTCCAATTCCCAATCGATGTCGTGCGTATCTTGGATGGTACCACGTTGGGTGTAACTGTGTACCTTTGCACAAGAAGTCGACTAGGACTAAGTCATCTTGTTGGCCAGTGTTCTGTCGGCGCCAGTGGATTCGTCGGTGGCAAAGGAAACGTACACTGGGAGCAGCTTTTACAAGCAATTAGAGCAACGCAAAATGCAGGCAGTTTGGCACCAACTCCGATTTGCAAACATTGGCATGAATTGTCCCAAGCATTTCACTAATTATCATATCAACACATTGTTAGAGTTTGCGACTTCAGTCGGCCACGTACAGTTCACAACACACTGATTCCAATACATCAACTCGCATCTGTCTCGTATCCATCTGGTTTAGCCGGCCTTCCGCAAAACGAACTCCCGATTGTAGACTCAACGCTATCTAAGCATCCTAGAGAAGTCTTAATTATTTGGTCTGTGCCAGGGTTCCTCTTCGTTTCTTAACTTGCAAACGATGTAATCACACCGTTTGTCGAATCTGTACTGAATTCTTCCTACGCGTGTGTTCGTTCAAATGAACACTCCACAGTTAACAGAATTATTACGGTCAGAACTGACTGCGCGGTCGTCATTATGACTACACTTTTCTGGAACTGTCAACGTTGATGCGGAATTGCTGCGAAACTTTTCATTGCAATCTGATGAATGAATTGCCAAGATGGTCACGGTAATTCAGAGCGAGCAGATCTTCGCCTTGTTGTGCAATCACTATTTGTTTATCATTCACTTCTAACAAATGAAATTGGTGAGTTGCCCCTTCTGTCGTATACTGGAAAGCCGCAATGTCACTACCATCCACGGACAGTGCAACTGTAAACAGAGAAAATATGGCTAGCTGCCATGACAATACAGTTACCGACACTCAGGTGACCGGAACTCGAGTGCTTTACATAAAACTGGTTGGCCGGTACAACTACAGGGAACAATTCCGTTTCATTGTCGTACCAGCGACTGACCTGATGCAACAACTGGCCTAGTTAAAATCCCCGATCACATTCTTCCTGGATTTGTCATTCCATACCAACCTCCTTTCAGTATAAAGGTTGATACTATGTGGGTCTCGAATTGTCGCTTATCCAATCTTCGTAATTTATCTTTGATTGAACTGGAAACACTGGCAACTCCAAAGTGTGCATATGCTTGAGAATACACAATCAGGTGAATATATTTGCGTTCTGTTGCCCTCAGGTAAATTTTCTCATCACTGGTTAACTCACAAATACGCTTTGACATTCACCCAAACACGGCTGTTAGTGGATAAAATGCTTAATTCCCTCTCAGCACTATGAATGGTTCCACAGTAATGATGCCATCCATGATCGATACGAAACTAGCTCAGAGAACGAAAAGAGTTAGTTGAGTAACTTTTCGAGAGCAGACTTTGGAAATTGATTTAGAAATACACATTTTCATAACAGCTATGCACCGTATTTGACATTTTCACCCTGCACACACTTCAACGAGATGGACCGTACACCGATTACACATAGTTCCACATCGGTATACCTACACAGACACCTCAACACCAGCGCGCACGTTTAGTCGAGCAGGTTCGGTGGTTGTCCTTTTTCTGAATAGTTATGCCGACGTTCAATCTGAATGGAGATCTTTCCAACTGAATCTATGCGTGCACACGTAACTTTAAGTCAGTATTTCCAACCTGGGGGTAATTGTTCGAAAAAGAGTAAAATTGGATTTTACGGGGTGTAAAGATAAGTACAACTGCTTCGTCATCGTTCAGTGAGGAAAATTATTAACAACATTATTAACACTGAATCATTTAATCAATTAAATAATAACTAATGAGTAGGCATTAGTGACAAAGCATTAAACAGTTGGATGAACGGCTCTATAGAGAGGTTTTTCTGTAAGGCTATCTTGCAACGTGTGAAAATATTTCGAGAAGCCCCAATGCAGTATTTTCATCAAAGTACTCGGCAAATTATAAGCCTGCTTTGAAAGAATTCATGATCAGTTATCAGGAAAATCTTTGATTTCCTTAGTTTGCACTGCAAACTTCACGTATGAGTTTAGCGGGCTACTTCTGCAATCAACTAAAGCTAGTCATGTAGCTTCGTACCGAATCGCTTTACAAATCGCCGAAAACAAGACCCCGCACACCATTGGAGAGGGTCTAAGCAACTGTCTACCTCTTGATTTAATAACCTACATTGATCGAAATAGGTGGTTTTTGTTTAAGTGCTTAAAGTTACTACAAAAGAAATGCAAAGAAATGCAGATTCAAGCAAAAAGCTTACAATGCCTAGTTGTTAATGGTATTTTACACTAATTATGTGCGTTTTTTAAACCGACCTCCCTTTTTGGTTAGCGGTTTTCGAACCACTGCTCTAAGCAGTTATTTCGCTTAATGTTTCTTGCTTCAAACGGCTCGATGAAGAAGTTGATTTGACGCATAGACGAGTGGTCCAGTTCACCCAATAGCGTAAGTCACTATGAAGATTTTTGTCTTGATTGCGCTCAACACTGCATTAAAATACCAGCTTCATGTGGATTTGAATCTTTCGGGCAGAGATAATCCGGTTTATAGTGGAACGCTGGAGGCAGATTCTAACGGCTGACACCTTGTTTACTGTCTCCTTGAAATCCATTTACGAATGACTTCAGTTTGCATTAAGGTAGCAGAATTAATTTGAGACGGGGTCACGATTTACAAGTACTGCAGTAATCACACTACAGTGGCAGAATATTCAAAGCCTCTAAGGGAACCTCCAACAAATGCTATATTTTGTAACCACGAAGCAAAATGCTTGATCAAAGTTTAACGGTTATTCTAGATCGGAATGTGACCAACCTAACAGAACACATTTCGTACTAGGTGAAGGGCTCGGACCTATTAACCAGTTGCTAGGACTGAGCAAACTAAGTTTACCTGGTATGATCACTTACAAGGTAGTTGTATAATTGCAGACAAGGAAAATCCTTCTATAGCAAATCATTCTAGAGATACTTATAACTAGCATTTTATAAACTCTTGATGTACTAGTAGCTCTACTCAGTTGTTGTGGAGTTCTCCGAGCTGGGCAACTTGGTTGCAAACGTTTCACCACCTTTCGAGGTGGCATCTTCAGTGCGGGCTTGATAGCAGTAAAGTAGCAGTAGCTGGTAGAAAGCAAACCCAATAATTGATCAATAATGGACCAATATTCCAAATCATTTCGAACACCTACGGGCGCTCAACTTATCCATTATTGGGTTTGTTTTCTACCAGCTACTGCTACTTTAGTAGCTCTACTATCTGCTGGCTGTGATTATCCTCTACCGTTTTGATGTGATGACGGTAGATAGCTGAGGACGTGAATGACTCGAAGAATTGCACATTGGTAGGTCGTATCCTCTCGTACCGCCTACCGAGATCAACCATGGGTCAACCATGCATCAACGGCACCAAAAATACTGTGAACCAAAACTTCCAGAATTTCTCTAGGTGGGTCAGTTATAGGATGCGCCTCCAACGCCTTAATGAACACGACGTCTGGATATTCTAATTAGTCTCTGATGAAACTGTACGAAAGTTGCCCTTCTGTTAAACGGAACCAGAATAATGGTTTGGAACGGATAACGGCAAGGTCTCGTCAGTCCGCAACATTGTACTCCGCGCCCGATTAAATAATTTTTTCCCTCATTCAGGAGGAGGGAAATCGACTGCAATGCGAACCTAGATACTGCGAGTTAATGCGCTTACCAACAGGGCACCGGAACGGCAGAACGATTGCCCAACGGTCAATGCCTCAGTGTTAGTTCATTTAAAACACGCATTGTACGCATGGATTGTGACACCGCGTCTAAACCTACATCCTGGCTTACGGTGTAATTGATTAAGGTCACTGCGGTCACGGAGGTCCGTAATGAATAAGTTGCTAAAATGTCAAAGGCTATTCAGACAGTGTTTGACAGATTCCTTTGGTATGCAGCGAAGACCGAACCGAGACCGTAGCTGAACTCAGTGCCAAAACATTCGTATGGATGGAGAGATGCGTGAATTACACAAATTCAAGTAACTATGTACACAATTGCAAACCTACTTCAGTAGACATATGTACAATGCACAACAGCCATAAGTGAACTCCATTTAGTCATATAACCGAGTTTTATGACTGATTTCGAGGCTAATACCACACTGGTATAAATGCTGTGCAACCTATACGAGGTCACTCCGCTCATGCGCTACACCAGTATTCACTTGCCTCGCCTTCTCATGGAATATATAATCCTCCATTCTTACCACTAATTTTTCTTGGTTGCAGGAGGTGATTTTGACCCAAAATTATCCACCGAGTTTTCCCAATCGTTGTAATCTCATCCGCTCTATGACAAGTGTAATCTGACTCATTTTTGGAACCAGGATACTAACTACGTATCCAGTTTCAAATTAATATCCCGGGAATGTCAGATCTCTCGCTTAACGTGGTACCTGTGAATGATAATCGGTAGAGGAGGAAACAACATAAAAATTATTTCGGGATGAATAAATGGAGAAATTTTAGGATGCCATGCTGAAATTATCTATGGTTATGTGCCTTAAGGTTTACATGAAAACTGGAACTACAAGGAAGTGTTGTTAGATTGGTGCTCCTTTAGAATTACTACTCAATCTCCAGGCTACAAGAAAGTACATCCAAATTATTCCCTTGCTTTTGTTAAATCCCCTGCTTATGCTACAGAATTAAAGTATATATACGGACATTATCAGCATTAAGACTAAGCACCCTTCTTTTTCTTTTTGAGAGTTCCCGTGACGCATACCAACTAGCGGCATGAGAGCACAGGCAGGATACCTCAAATATAGTATCCCTACCTGTACCTCCAATGGTGTAGAAATTTGCCAAAATTTGAAAAGCACAACACAATTGATAACAGCAGATGTATTGAAGAAGGTACTTAAATATCTACTGTCAACCTCACGCGAAATATTTGGAGTGGAACCTAATCTTTAAACATTATTTCCTCCTCAGACGTATAGTTATGAGAAGTTATGTGTAAGGCATTAAACGTTTGGCAACGATTGGGGTATATTGTCATATAATCGGTGCAGTGATTCTACGGATCCCTAGTCGCTTGGCAATTTGTCGAAGTAAAAATTAAATGCGTCAATCCATGGTCTTTGGTTCATCTCCAGATCTCTACATGTAGGTAGTTGAGAAAGAGAGTATTTGCTACTCCAGGGTAGCCTAAAGCCGAATCAAATATGCACAGGACTAAATTATTAGTTACTACCAAATGCGAGCAGTGGAAAACTCTGAGTCAATTAGTCACCTATCAGTATTTGAGTCGAGGTCAAAATCGTTTAGCATCTAAGCGCAAGGTTATCTGTATAACATAATATATTTAATCTCAAATTGGAACTAGGTTCAGTGGTTTTGTGTAGTTGTCTTTTGAGTGATTTCGTTAATGCTACTTCAAATGCCATTCAGCCCGGTAAAGAGTCAAACGCTTTCAGAAAGTTACTTTTTAAGGTGATACGAATTCGGAATCCTTTTGACAGACTTTTCACGCTTTCAAGAATCATCATTAGCGTGTACTCTATCCTTTGCCATCGGTGTTTTACGAGTTCTCGGTATGGACCACTAAACCTTGTGAAGGTGCGCGAGACGTCGCAAATCAGTAACCAATTGCGATATAGCCTACGTACTTCCACTCGACTACCATGCGCATTTCCCACGTTTAAAGAAAAGGGTTGGCTCCCTGAGTTCCTAACTTCTCCTGTTGACCAAACACCGATTTCGTAGACGAACGGGTAAAATAATGTATTTGGATTAAAGTGATTGCGTTGCTATAGTGGTCCGCTGGTAAGCAGCTGAATAGTGGATGCATTCAGCATCAAGCCAACCTGGTAGCTTGTTGCACGGCCTGAGGGGCATGCGCCGAATTGACTATTTGATGTTGTCAGTAGCAAGCACAAAGCATATATCAGCCAGCAGTTACATACAAATTTGGAGATTACGCGCGCCAAACTGTATCATCTTTGCTTTCGTCTGTCAGCAACTCAACTAGATGCATCTAGCATCCTCTCGCTATAAGTCAAACGGAAGCATAGAAAAGAAAACCATCTCCGATTTTTAAAGGCGGTAGTGCCCTATTTTTAAAGGCGGTAGTCGTTCAGACCCTGCATACTATCGTCCAGTGACTCTCCTCCCTGTGCT